AGGCTCCCTGGGGTGCCCAGGGTGGGGCAGAGCCATCATCCCAAATCATGGATGTGCACCTTCTGGCATGGATTTGCTTTCTTTATGCCTAGTTTAGGGAGTGTGGATATGCCTGTCATCTCCTGTCCCTTCCACAGTGGTACTCTCAGACTTCAGAAATGAGAAGGAGGTGGCTGATCAGGCCCTGCACTTTTGACACCACATCAGAAAAACCACAAAGCCTTTATAAACTGAGAAATGAGGTGTGACAGCAGCTTTTCATGACTCATCCTGACACCAATATTGTGGTTTCATGCTCTGAGGAGCTTCAAATGAAACTACCATTAGGCATTATTCTGTTGAGTTAGAATTCAAGCGTGTGCAGAAATAACCAGCAATATCTGCAATAAGGGTTTCACAGAATATTAATCTCTTTCTCAGATTGATAGTGAACTCCAACAGCCCTTTAAATCTCAAATAACTTGTGAGAAATGAAGAACTATTAACTTTTAATGAAGCTCCAAAAACCATCTCAGGCTGTAGAATGGGGCATGAGCTTTAAATACTTCATGTCTTGCTACAGGGAGAAGCCCACGGACCTGGAACAGAGAGGACTCCTCCCTCCATGTGCCTGAGCCAGCCAGACCTCCACAAATTACTGCTGGATGTAAAAGTGCTCATAGTGATGTGATCTGCCCTGTCTGTTTATGCTGAGAGGGTAGAAATAAAGAAAAGGAGGGTGTCTTCTAGGGGGAAATGGGATTATGGGAACTGCAGAGGGAAATTCTTGGAACCATTCTGCCTGCCATGGTGAAATACCAAATCACCCCTGGCAAATGGCAATGGCAAAGCCACCATAATATTCCAACAGGGAGACATAAAGGAGCAGGATTCGTGGCAAGTGAACAGGAAGCAATGATCACTCAATACGAAGAGAAGAAAAAAGAACATCCTGAAGTGATGATAATACAAATTACAGGGCTTTGTCAAAAGAGAATAGCAATAGCAAAGTGCTCACAATTGTGCATAAATTTGAGGCGAGCTGAAATGGAGGACAATTTAATTTTTTTAAACATGCAGCATCCAACTTTGCCTATTTAGACCTCCAAAGAAGTCAGCAGGTTTTTGGAAGGATATTATCTCCTACCAAGACACTTCAATTAAAAAGAGCTGCTTTGTTTCCAAAAGCATTCTTCAGCTCATAGCACTCACTGAAAGAGAAGATCCACTAAGTGTATCTCTGAGTAAGATCCAAAATCAACAAGGCTGTCTCTGAAAATCCAAATGACTGACAAGCCTGACTGAGACATAGGACATATTAAGCTCCTTGTTGTTTCTAAATTCAAAGGCTTATGAATATGGGTATGAATAAGCCTGTTCTTGAGGAAGAGGCCAGATGCAGACTTCAGATCTCAATCAGAGATAGTAAAACAAGGAATTTAACGTAGGTTCATTAAAATTCTATCTGGCGCAGCTAAAAAACATTTGATAGTCTCATACAGAAGACATGAGCCCTAGATTACAAAATTTCTTCACTAACAGGTCAGGAAAGCAATAGTCAAATTATCTGGATATATGTAACACAGCCCAGGAACAGTACTACAAGATTAGGTGATAATCGTAAGATCTCTTAACATCTGCCCTTCAGAGGCCTTCTGCTCAAGAGAAGGGTTTGTGCTCACAGACATGTGCTCTAAGGAAGGCAAATTTAAAACAAAACAAAACAAAACACACACAAAGCTCAACAAATACATCCAAAAGAATAAGAAAATCAAAGGAATAGTTAATAATTAAAAAAATGCTGAATGTTTAATGACTGAAATGTTTTTCTTGTGGTCATTCGTGTCATCTACTGTGGCATCAAAACTCCTGCACAGTCCCTGGGCTGGTCCTTGCTTTCCACCATGCCCCAAATACTGTCACTTTTGCTTCCCTAGTGAGGGTGACAAGTGCCAGTTAGGAACATCAGCTTCTTAGAGCTATTTCTACATATTTCATAGACCGTTGCTGAGGCCAGGGGGATGCTTCTCACAAGGGATTGCCATGCCAAGCTGAACTGAGCAAAATAAACACCATTTTCTTACACAATCACGATAGGATGAACAAAGATGAAGAAAACAGGAAGTAGACCCTGTCAGAGAATTAAAAAGTGGAAAATCCAGACAAGTGAAAACAGAGAAGTTCCTACTTGGAAAAGAGTTGTTGATTGTCTCGGGGTCACCCTGCACTTGAAGTAAGCTCTGGGCACCTCAGCTAAACCTTGTGTCTACAGAAACTTGTGCAGTTCTGAAAGGAAAAGACCTCTTTGGAGGAGAGCGTCACATCTGCTGTTCTAACAGTGCTGACAACCATCCTGGCACAGTGTCACTGTGGTTGTTGACAGCCTGTCTGCTCCTCCTTCAGATGCTTTGTCCCTTTTCCCAAGCCACAAAGTGATGCACTCAGTAAGGAACCAGAAAAAGACAGTAAGAGGAAAGTAACATGTTGTTACTACATTATGGTGGCATAATCTAGTAACAAACTCAAACACTTTTTTGCTCACTCCTTCCCAGGACCTTTCCACATCCCAAGTCACCACTGGAACAGCCGAGTAGGGTGGGATTACTCCCGTGTGCACATTTTTGCCAAACTCTATCTAAAAGTCACTTTACTCTTGTACCACATATTTCCACGTATTAAAAAATTTGCACCTAACTCCTTCTGCAGGCAACTGCAGAAATGCTCTGTCAAACACTGACGTCAGCTACACACTCTCAGGTTGAGCAAAGCTCTGTGTCGAATGTCTGCTGGGAATTCTGAGCAGGAATACACATGGTTGTAACCCATGTGTGCTGGCACCTTTTGTTTGTTTTCCCAGAAATTCACAGGAGGTCTGATGCTTTGTCCCATTTCACCAATAGATTTCTATTAGCAACCTTCTTAAAACTCCAGCTACACTTTAAGCAAAGCTTAGGTCAGCTCCCTCAGATTAATTACCTCAGAGTCTAATTTATTTAGCAATTAGGAAAAATTAGACAGTAGCTGGTGAATTGGCTGTTTTGAAACAAAAGGCCACAGACCTTAGGTCTGTTCACAGGATAAATGCTTGGGTTAGACATTCATGATTGGGAAGTCTCAAAACAAGTACTTCACATTTCAATTCTTTTTGCATCATTTAGCCTCCAAATAACTTCCCTGTTCAAACTATGAGCGTGCTAATGACAAAAACAAATAAACAGGAATGTAATAAATAAACAGGATAGTTTTCAGTATCAACTTTTCCTTTTAAGCTTGACTTTGTCACACTGGTTAACACTGGTATCCAGAAACACCTTGTGACACCGTGTTAAATGTTGTGATACCATCAGGGAACCGCCAATAAATGTTATCAAGGAGAAACCTTGTCCTAGGCAGAAATTCTACAACAGAATAATGTGCATACACCTCCTGCATATACTCCATGGCTTTAAAGCCCTTCCACTACTGCCCCAGCCCTGAATAAGGATACTGGGACATTTACTGAGGTTCTAGAACCACCTCTGAACCTTCACTCTGCCCATGTGGCTGCAAGGGCAGCTCCCAGCACCGTTAGTTTCATTCTCTATTCGATTCCAGTCAACAACAACGAAGCACTGCCTTGCACAGCACATACAAAGCACATCATCTCACAACACTACTGATGTTTCCTGAGAAACAGCTTGACACATACAGCACAACTCCTTGGAGCAACAGGAGCTCCATCCTGAGCTCATCTGGAAGGGCTGTAGTTATCAGGGCTCTGATGCAAACTTACCCTGAGTCAGCGGAGCGAGACAGTTCTGCAGCAGATGAGGTTTTGGCCTAAAGGAGTATAAATATTTGGACATCATGTCGCTCGATTAACTCACTAGATAACTTCATGTGAGACAGCTGAACAAAGTCTTAAAGAGATCACGGCTGTTCTGAACGTAAAGCTCCCTTTAGAGTCCTGGCTTTTCCTCAGGGACACTTCAGGTTTATGTGGCCCATTTTAGGGATCTTTTTGATGTGGCCGTGATGTACACCCTAAGTTCACTTTGTCTCTCCCTATACTTACTCTATTTATGCTTCTTGTGAGAGAATTTGGAAAGTGGATCTGATTTCCTCACTGTACATCTGCTTGCACCCTTTCAGGTCATTAAAAATCCCTTCATGGCTTTTCACCTATTACACTGACTGTTCAAAACAAAGCCAAGCAAAGTATTTGCTGGGAAAGTCTTAATGCTGTCTGCTTGCTCCAGACAGTGGGGACCCTCTGGCCTTGGCTCAAGTTTCTGTAAGAAATGCCACAGTAGCAGCCCTTTTATGCCAGACACATTTTATATTAGAAGATTTTTTTCCTCACTTCTTTCTTCCAGAGCCAGGTGCCCGCTAGCTCACACACAAGAGCCTGGTCTGGTTAGTGTGCATTGAGGGTCACATATTCTAAGCTTTCTGCAAACCTTCTACACTTTTCATGACCCTCCACAGCCTCTGACAGTCTTATCCAGTAGGGTGTGTGTCCCAGCCGTGCATCTTGGAAAATATCAGCTGATGTGAATAAGACTGGAGGTGAAGAAGAGGACTGGGCACCTGCTGCGCATTTCCTTTCCTTCTGGAAAACTAGGAAGCAAAAGAACTGCTCCCTGGGGGGTGAGTGCTTCATAGATGTGAGGAGGCAGCATTAGCAAAGGACACCAAGTCCTTAAGGATTCACTGCCACTTTCCTGCTCTGAGTAATTCCCTGAGAGGGCAAGGAAAGCTGTCAGGGGTCCTCTGATTTACAGCTATTCACCGTTTGACCCTCCTTCTGCAGGAGCTGCTGCAGCTGCAGTCCTAAAGACAATAGCCTGGAGAGAGATCCACAGAGAAAGGTCCCTGGGAAAGCAGATTACTCTCCTTCCTCCCCCTCCTCTCCACTGGAAGGTTTGTGTTTTGCCTCTGTGCCACATCAGGTGCAGGCAGCTGCTGCCCGGCACTGGCAAAACCCAAAGAGCAAGTGCAGATTGGGATTTACACCTTCCCTTCTCAGGAGGGCTAACAAAGCAATTCCACGCCAATTCCACGCATTCAAGGGGTTTAAGGCTGAGCTCTATTGTCTGCGGATCGCGCTGCCTCTTTAAAATCAGAAATGCACGGACAGCTTCAAGGTGCCTCCCACTGAGCAAAGGCTTTGGATGCAGGCTCAGAGGCAGAGGAGTCACCCTCCCCTGAGCACAGGGCAAACCTGCCTGGGAGAGAAATGAGCACTCAGCAGAGTCCTCGGGCTGCTTCCAGCGATCCTTTCTCTGCTCCAGTGACAGCGGCACACGTGCAGGGGAGAAACCTGGAGGCTCTCCCCAGGGCGCCTGAGACCTCCAAGAAGATGAGAGCAACTGCAGGTACACTTTCCTGGTGGTGTTATGTCAGTTGTTGTGTTATGACAGACGGTTGTGTTGCCTGTACTTATTGTATAGCTCTCTTGGTATTTTGCGGCAAAACCTGTCTGAAACAGATAATGCTCCTTGCTTTGACAGATTTTGCGTCCCAGTGTTTGTTTAGTATTTCTCTTAAGTGAATATTCACATTACCTAAAGCAGTCCCGGGTCAGAACTGTTCTTTAGTTTCAGGCTTTGGCTTTCTGTTATTCTCTTCTTCTGCAACCATCAGTTAGAAGAGCAATGTGGAGACCAAAGTTGTACAAGAGAGTTTCTCTCGGAAATTTTTTTAAGTGCTGGTACATCAGGGGCTGAGGGTGGTTCCAGGGAAAGGGAGAAAGAGCTCCACTACAGCGACTGTCCTTTGTAGCCACAATCGCTATTGTTCAATACCATTTAACACCCTCGAGACCTGCCTGAGTGCAGAAAAAGCAGCAATTCCCCCCAGTCCTCTGCTGGGATGGGGTAGGACTGTCCTGACAGCTGAGAGTCTGGTGTGAGGATTCCTAGATGGGACATGAGAAGATGCAAGAAGATAGCCCTCTAAGCATTTTGATACAGAAAGGCAAAATTGGGGGGTAAATGAAGGGATTTTTTTTCCCCTCTGTGTGGAAAAATAAATAATTTTTTAATATTTGGTACAACCAGCAGTACAAGGAGGGGAGCCTGCTCCTCCCCAGCATCAAAAATTCAAGACACTGTCTCGCTTAAGGAAGATTTTCCCTTTCACCTCAAGAGCCAGTTTGTGGGAGCACTCCCCCTGTGAAAGGCAGATTTGCCTTCACAGTGAAGCCCTACAAGCTGATTCACTGAACAAAATCTTGCCTCTGCAAATTGGCAGAGCTTCACCTGTTTGACAGAAGCAATAATGGATGATGCTGGCTGAAAATCTGGTCCCCATACTCAGTTAACGGCTGCCAAAAGGAAAGTGCTGGCTTCACTATTTTCCTGGGTCTTTGCAACTCCTTCTTAATTAAGGAATGTATTTAGAAGCCAGGACATCAGTTCTTTTTTTTTGTTCTCACCTACCACATCTCTTTGAGGCATCTAGAATAGCACACAAACTTTGTCCAAAAGGCACATCATATGCTTTTCAGTATACTGAGATTTCATTTTAGTTTCTTTTATGTTGCACAGGGATGACAGCACCATAAGCTTGAAGGCTGGCGGAGGTTTAAACTGGATTTTACACTCCCCCTATGTTGTCATTTCACTTTGTGCTGAAAATTTCATTGTTGGTAAATAAAACTGCTGCTGTAACAACCAGTGTATGATGCAACTCGAGGCATTTGTTTTATGAGAACAAAAGCATCCCTTCACAGGGTATTTCTTCCCACCATGCACAGGCACCAATAGAGCTGTGGGGCAGCAAGGAGGCTGTTGCTTTCCTTCAAGCTCAGCATTTTTGCTGTCACTTCCTTTCAGGAAACATTTTCCTCCTTTTGTTCCCACAGGAGGAGATGAATGAGGCTGTCGCTCAATAGTCTTCCAGGGACAAAGACAAGGTGACTCACTGCTCAGAAGGAAACCTTGGGTGAGGTCTCATGCCCTGCCACAGTGGGTAACTCCAACACGACACGAAGGGCCAGCCAGGCCACGCGTGTCACAAGAAAACAGACATGGCCACAGAGCGAGCCGAACGTAACCCAAACGCCACCACCCACCTCAGCTTTGCTGCAATCTACAATCTCCATGATGGGGATCTCCCCTCCTTGCGGAATTTCTCCCTCCCTTTCAACTACACTTACATCGACTACGACCTGCCCTTGGACAGCGAAGACGACGTGACCAAAACCCGCACCTTCTTTGCGGCCAAGATCGTGGTCGGGGTGGCCCTGGTCGGCATCATGCTGGTCTGCGGCATCGGCAACTTCGTCTTCATCGCCGCCCTCGCCCGCTACAAGAAGCTGCGGAACCTCACCAACCTGCTGATCGCCAACCTGGCCATCTCGGACTTCATCGTGGCCATCGTGTGCTGCCCCTTCGAGATGGACTATTACGTGGTGCGGCAGCTGTCCTGGGAGCACGGCCACGTCCTCTGTGCCTCCGTCAACTACCTGCGGACTGTCTCCCTTTATGTTTCCACCAATGCCCTCCTGGCTATAGCTGTTGACAGGTAAGTGGGGTGCTCTGACTGCACAAGGAGGTGGCCAGAGCTTCTGAGACACATTCACCACTAAACCACATCCTCGAGTGCCACATCCATGTGGGTTTTTTAACTATTCCCTGGGCAGGGAATTCACAGTGCCTAACCACCCTTTCAGCGAAGAAATTTTTCCCCAACTACGTTGCAGTGCTGAGAGACTGCCCGCCTCTTACTCCAGGAATTTTAACAATATAATAAAGTCATAATATAATATAGTCATAATATAATTCTTTCTTATGATTCCTCTTCTCTCAGCCTTGTGCACTGTGGACTCTGACAGATCCAGGCTCTGAGGATCAGCCTCATGCTGACATAAGTCTGGCACAACTGACTCACAGAAAGATAGCGACCCACTCAGTAAACTCTTTATAGAAAGGCCATCACCACAAGTCCTCTCTTGTGTACAAACACAATATACATAGACACACTGCATGATTCCCACCCTTCCTTCTCTTTTGTCCCCAGTTTCTCATGTGTGCCATTTCATGCTCTAATCAAATTCTGCATGATTTTTGGTACCTGATCCAAAAGACAGCTCAGGAGCAGTTAGCCCTGATGATGGCTGCACAGATAGAGCTCGTTTGTGGCTGATTCAGCTGTTCCTGATGTCAACAGAACTCTGTGGAAAGACTCTGGGGAAGTTTAGAGATGTTTTGCCTGATGTGGGTGAGGGGACAATCAACTCCCATGAAACAAATCCTTAACAACCATCTAACAAAATAACCTCTCAACAGCACCTGAGGACTCAGGGTAAAGCTCCTAAAAAGTATCATGTATGTATTACCATTCGCTATCACTTTTTCAACCTCTATAAAATTTTCTTGGAACCCTCTGCTAGTACATCCCAGGTTGATGAAGTAACGTGGGTCATGGAGCCCTTATGTCTGCTAAGAAATCAGATTTCTAGCATATCTCCCTACACATCTTTAAAAACAACTCTGGAAAAGATTAATCACTGAGGCCTGTTCTAAGAACACATTGTTTTTTGTTTCACTGCCTTTTTTTTCTTTTTTGACTTAGTAAACAGAGAGAAACCTCGTTTGTTTAACATCACCCATTCCATGTTGGTTATGTCAAGTGGGTTGTTGACTTCAGTCTCTAAAAAAGAACAGGCTCCCATAAAAATCTTCTCATGTTTAGATCATTCAGAAGGAATCACCTGTGTAAAGAGGGTGAGTTTGTCCCACAGGATTTCCCTCGGGTAGGGCTCTCCATCTTCACTGATTTCTGTTCATATGACACGCAGGAATTTCACATATTTAAGGCCACACCTGCACTAAAAAATAATATAGTGTAAAAGGAGAGGATCTGAAGAGCAAGAGCATGTGATAAGAGTCCACTGTAAATATCTGGGGGTGAAGGGGACAGGTAGCTTTAGCTGTGTCCCCTGGGCTGAGCGCCCATGGGCACTTGGTGTGTTTTACTTACACTTTTGGAGCGCATCTTCCAGGGCAGTTTCATCTGAATTCAGTTCACGTGCTGCAGGACCACTCCACAGTAACAGCCCAAGTGTGGTAAGCAATGACAATCACGAAATCCACCACAAGAGCTCCGTCCTGACTCTCGGACAGACTGACCCCACCGAGCCAAATGTTCTGCTGAGCAGATATGCATATTCATGAACACATACACACATGCATCATCCCACAACCTGCTTCCTCAGGAATCGAGCTAAAAATATTCATTTATCAGCTCCACAATGAGGCTGACTAAATCTGCTGGCCCCTGACACCTACCCTGCACTATTAAGAGCCATGAACAATTCATCTGCTTCCAGGATCTGGGGCTGGTGAAAAGCATTGCTGACTTTCAATTTTACTTCAGAATTAATTTTATCCCGTGGATGCTATCTTTGTATAGAATATATACAGATGGAAAAGACTCCGCAGGAATGAGAAATTCTGGTTTTTGGAGCAATCCTTTGGGTTAAATACAGTTGTATTGGGTGCTCTGGTGTGCCTCAAACATCTCCTTCTAGTAGGAATACCCCAAACTTGCAGCTGTACAGACATAAGGAGTGAAAACATCTAACTCAAGTTTTCTGCTTTGCCATATTACTTAACACAGTACATTTAAGATTATTAACCTCCAAAAAGCACACACGCAAAAAAGATTTGCATGGGCAGAAAACAGATACACTAGCCTTTGTTGCTGGCTTGAAATCATGCTCACCTGTAGCCACTCATTAACATCACCTTCAGGTCTTTGCACCCCATGGAATAACCAAGGAAATAAGAAAAACACCATAATGTATATATGACTTCTTTGTAAAAAAAGGCATATTTAAGTAGCTCTGTGCCTAAGGAAAACATTTTCCTGCTTCTACATGCTTTTCTTCACTGCACCTGACTAGGTGTATATTACTTCACATTTCAAACTCTCACTCCTATTAAAAAGGAAAAGATGTGATGCAAAACTGTAGCTCAGCTCCAGGCTGTTACTTCAGACTTGTAAGCTGTTCTTGCAGACGAGTATGTTCAGCCTCTCCCCTTAGGAATGACAGCAATTTCCTCTTGTCCAGTTCTGTCCCTTCGTATTTTGAAGTGCGTTCTGACTAACAGTGTTTTCAGGTTTCATTTTTGAATGTATTTGTCTATTCTAGGTATCTGGCCATTGTTCACCCACTGAAACCACGCATGAATTACCAAACAGCAACCCTCCTCATCGCCTTGGTCTGGATTGTTTCCATACTTGTAGCTATCCCATCCGCATACTTTGCTACCGAAACGGTGTTGTTTATAGTGAAAAACCAGGAGAAGATTTTCTGTGGCCAAATTTGGCCGGTTGATAAGCAGATATATTACAAATCGTACTTCCTCTTCATCTTTGGCATTGAATTCGTGGCACCTGTGATCACGATGACCTTGTGTTATGCCAGGATCTCTCAGGAGCTTTGGTTCAAAGCCGTCCCAGGATTCCAGACAGAACAGATCCGAAAAAGGCTTCGATGCAGAAGGAAAACTGTTATGGTCCTGATGTGCATCCTGACTGCCTATGTTCTCTGCTGGGCACCTTACTATGGCTTCACAATTGTCCGGGACTTCTTCCCCACCATCTTCGTGAAAGAGAAGCATTATCTCACTGCCTTTTACATAGTTGAGTGCATTGCCATGAGTAACAGCATGATAAACACCATGTGTTTTGTAACTGTGAAAAACAACACCATGAAGTACTTCAAGAAGATCATGTTGCTCAGATGGAGATCAACGTATAGTGGAAGCAAATCCAGCACTGATTTGGACCTGAGAACAAGTGCAATGCCAGTCACAGAGGAGGTAGACTGCATAAAACTGAAATAAATTTTCTGCGGTTCTAATCTCATCTGTTTTGGAGAGGGGGTAAAGAAGAAATAATGTCTCCTCAGAAGCTTCTCCCTTGTCTGTGGGAACACTCACTATTGGTGAGATCCCTCAAAAAGCAGCCTGCATTTCCACCAGAACTCTTCTTAGTGGACTGCTGGATAATACTCCTAACTCAGACTGATGCTGTGCTTCAGGTCACCCATCTGTAAATTTGCAATGTAGACACTCATTTTAGAGTTGTTTAAGAAGAACAAAAAAGTCTATGAATGCATCAGACCATATTACAACAATGGAAGAGTTGAGTGCTGATCCCAGCAGTGATGCCTGCCTCTTTCTTAAGAGAAACCTCTTAAACCCTTTGATCTTATCACTTGTACCTTTAAGCTATTAGGTGTCCTTTTCCTTCTGCTCAGGAGAGGAAGGATGGTAAAAAAAGCCCATTTGTCATTCTTTAACCTCTCAATTTACCCCTCATCACAAAGCTCCTTGAAGTCTACAGACCACCAGCTTCCTATTCTCCAACGTGCAGCATGCTCTTATGAAAGGCACATGCTCTACAAAGCTGAAATCTGCTTCACAGTCTAGTGAAAACCTCAAATCTCTTCCTGTGACACCTTGTTTAAGAATGTTTTATCACCATTCCACTCTGTAGTGTTATGGAGAATGTAACTCTGTCATGCATTTGGTAATGGCAAAGATACATATAGAAGGGAACTGTTCCCTTCCCTCACCTCCAGGCACCCTATGACCAGCTTTTGCTGCATTGAGATACTGAGGTCACCACAGAATCCATCACAAAACTGTACAGGTGGGGAATAACATCTCCACATTGTCTAGCCCACCCCTCTGCTCAAGCAGGTTCAGCTAGAACAGGTTGCCCAGGATTGTGTCCAGCTGGGTTTTGACTGACTCGAGGGAAGGGGACTCCACAGCCTCCCTGGACCACCAGTGTCAGTGTTCAACAGCCCCCAGTGTTCAACAGTGAAGTGCTTTCTAACGTTCAGATGGAATTTCACGTGTTTCAGCCTGTCTGTCAGTGGGACCCATAGAAAACACGTTAGTGGGAAAAATCCAGCTTGCTGAACCAGGCCCAGACACCTTACCAAGTCTGTGTGCACCATCACTGGGAAGTACAAGGGGGGCCAAAACACCAAGGAGATCCCAAGATGACCTGTACTCCCAGGAGCAAGACAGGCTTCAGCAAGCCAGTCTCTGGTTGAGCTGAATAGCTCATGGTCAGCTCAAACGTGAGGCACCAGCTCCAGATGAATTCTGCATTGCCTCCCCCAGTGCTCCTTTTACTGTTCTGATTTTGTGTGAATCCAGTTTGGGTGTTTTTAACTGATAATCGTGACAAAGCAGGTGACAGCAGCAGTAATACCTACTCATTTCAACTGCACACAAGACATCGTAGACTTTTGTGTACTGAAATCAAATATTTTCTGTCACGATGACAAATGCTTCCTGTTTTAAAGTATGTGGCTGTGCCTACTTTTGGAGTAAATGGCTTTTGTAAATAACTCTTGTCTATTTGTGAATTTAAGTGAGCAGCAAATCCTGCCAATAAAACAGTAAATATGGCCTCAATATCACCATTCTGAATTATTTTTTATCTTTTTCCCTTAGCTGTCACTTTCCTACCCAACTGACTAATGTGAACAACCCCGTTTCTGTTAAAGAAAAATTGACCAATTAAATTTAAGGGCAAAAGGATATTCAAATCCATTAAAGTGCTCAAATCCTCTCATCATTAGCTGCTCTTAAATATACATTGGAGAGGACGTCATCATGTGCTGTTAGGCAAAAACAATTACTGAAATCATCCTTCAAAATGACAGTTTTAAACAGGGCTAAGTACTAAATCCATTCAATTCCCAGCTTGCCAAAGAAACTTAAGGGACCAGAGAGCTGCTGTATTTCACCATCAAAAGGCTTTTAATCTCTCCTGAAATCTCATGGTTCCTTCTGAAACTATGCTCCCATATGTATCTCCTAAAACCTGCACTGGTTGTTGGGGATTAGCAAGGAATACTACCCGTTATTAGAGTGTCCTGATACTCCTTCCACCTGTTTTCCCTACACATTTTTGGTGCAAAAGTCAAACAACTGGCAATTTTCCACACCTGGAAACCCATCTCTGGCTGAGTTATTAGAAAATCCCTCAACCCCCACCAAGCAGTATAGAACTAAGCAAAAACTGGGGGGAAGAATTGCTTTAAAATTATGGAAATCACTCTGAGAGCTCCAAGAGAGCTCTTTGGGTTCAGCCTGCCTGTGGTTCTCATCCCTGCCCCTGCCCAGGGTAGCAAAGCAGCAGCTGCCACTGCAGGCCCAGGTTTTGGAGTCTTTGTAACATTGCCACGTTTTTGACACTTTGAGGTCTTCCCAGCAGCAAAGTGGCATTTCAGCCTGGACCTCTGGACAGGGCAGGACAATAAGCTTTGCTTTGCCCTCAACTGCAAGCAACAACCCGAGAGAGGGGGTTTCCCATGAGGAAGGGAGATGGTCCCCTGTCCCCTTGTCAGAGCACCAAGCACTCACGTCGCCCTTCTTAGCCTGTGTCTGCACCAATTCCAAACAGCTCAAAACAGGTCCTACTTTCAGAGACATTTGCTCCTAAACTGAGCTCCAGCAAGCAGGGGCTCAGGGCCTTGCATGCAGACAGAAAGTCGCTTAAAAACTCCTGAGAAAACTCCATAAATGTGAAGGCCGCAGGGGCAGGCCACGACCTGAGTAGCTCCCTCAGGCAGGGGGGAGCAGGTAGGCCACGGTCCAAGGTAGGGGGCCAAACCCCACACTCCTTGAGCTTAGATGAGCCATGCAGGGAAAAAAAAGAACAGAAGGGAGGGTTTTTTTACTCTTACAACTCAGGCTAAGGGAAGGTGGGTGCCAGCACCACAGCTCCCTGTCAGGTAGGGGACACCCTGCTGCCTCCTGCCTGGCCACTCCCTGCAGAAACACTTTCTCATCTACACTGAAGGGTAGTTAGAGAGGGAACTGAATATGGACTGCACCTACATGGAGCTCTGCTTGCAAGAGCCGTGCTTAAACAGAGAATGACAAGCAGCACAAGCTTTGAGGAAGGCAGCACCTGTTCCAGAGGAGAAGTAGGCCTTTCCTGCAGAACTCCTGCCTCCTGGAAGGCAGGAAAAACTGCAGCGAGACCCCTGTGGCCGCCAGCTGCCCATTATTAGCTCTAGGAACACAGATGCAATAATGGCTTCATCATGCAGGAAGTGTGGGATGTGTCATGGATGAGGTATCCTCCTGAGAGTCCTTAACAGGGTTCAGATAACCATGCAGCGAATCAACCAGATACCACCCTGTGTTGGTTGTAGGGATACCTTGGAGTTTTGATGTTTTGATTTTTTTTAATTTTTGTAGATTTTAGAAGTAGTTATGTAGATTTTAGAGTAGCAGCACTATTATCCCTTTACCCTTAACACACGAGCTCAAACCCCTGTTACCCATTCCCATATCAATTCCCTAAATTCCTTAGCATGTTTAGTCTTTTTTTCAAGGCAGAACATCCTAACCCTGTGCAAGAAGATATAGACATAGACCCAACAACCTTCAGGCCTAGAGTTCTGGAAGGCCTCCAAGGACATTACGTGCTCTGAGGAAGATGAAGATGAGCGGGTCCCAAAACGCCCCCAGACCCAATTTCCAAGAGGCATGGTGGGGGCAGAACCTGGGTGGTGGTAGGATGGAGATTGGGCAAAAATCTTTATAAAAATTGTGAACATCTCGATTTTGGGAGCGCGTTGGGATATTCCAGAAAGCCTGGGGGCTCATTAAAACCTTTGTATCCTTATCTTATCTCCTACCTAATTTGGCTTGGAGTCTTTTTTTCCTCACAGCCATTTAGGCAACAGTTTTGGTGGCCCGTACGGGTATTAAAAAAATCAAAACATCAAAACTCCAAGGTATCAGTAGCTAGCCCCAATTTTTATTGCCAAAAGCAAAACTGTGGTGCTACCACACCAGATTCCTGCTCAGCTGTCCTTCTGTGGCACAGCTCTAAAACCATAGGCTCACTTCCTACTACAGCACCTTCTCCAGGGATAACTGAGGGTAAAATCCAGTCTCTGCTCCTTCACAAGGAAAAACAAAAACCCAGGTGCAACTGAAAGCTAAAATGGGGACCCCGAAAAACTAAGAGAGGATTAAGAGAAGGAAAAACTTTCATTCTCAGAAACAAGCACTAAGAAAACAAAGGCTGCATGTTATTAAAGCAATTGTCCCTTTACTAAAGGGGGACGACCTCCAGACCTCCAGGGCAGGTCAAAATAGCCAGCATGGTAAATTTTCCCTAGACTGACTCACTCAGAACCTCAGACTTGGCAGTGCTCCTTCTTCTTGGAGCCTGCCAGCCTTTCCTGTGGCAACAGCACCCTCCAGCTGCTGCCTCTGCAGCACAGGGTCACTGAAAACTGCATCAGCTCACACCAAACCCCTTGGGAATCCCTCCCTGCAGATATTCCCAAGATTCCAACAAGTGGCAAAACATGTTTCAGCTTTCGTCATTTGGGTGCCCAGGTACTTACCTGGTGCTTGTGGTGTCTGCATTCTCCTTCGCTCCCTGTGTCAGCAGGGCTGTGACTTGTGCTTGGGCTGCTCTCTTCCAAACATTCCATGCCATATGGGTGCAAAAACACATACATTGAGCAGAAACTCACCCAGCTACGACCTCCTTTCAGGTAGCTCTAGAGAATGATAAAATCACCCCTGAGCCTCCTTTTCTCCAGGCTAAACATCCCTGGTTCCCTCAGCTGCACCCCAAAATCACTGATGAAGCAGGGATCTCTGCAGGTCCCAAAGTGACCTTCGTTATACCATGCAGAACAAAAACATGGAACAAACCCCAATGTAAACCCACCAATAATCACGAATAGTAAGAAACAACACCAAACACATAGTTCCTCAAAGCACAAAGTCACCTTCCTCAAAACCAAGACTTGGTAAGTGACAGAAGACATGCTAAGATAGCAACATTCCCTGGAGAAAGACATGCCCAAGATAAAAAGGATCATCAAGACCCCACGTAAACCTCTGTACCTGCTCATCTGCTGGTTCCAGAAGAAAAAAATGTGGAAGTTAACACATGGAAAACGTCACAGGAAGCAGGAAAGCACAGCAATAAAATCTGGTCATGCAGCGCTCCGAAAAAGCCA